TGAAACCAAAATGAATTCATATTACTCCATATTACTGTTTCTTCAGTTTTATTTATTTTTCTGATCATGACAGGAAATAGAACTAATTACGTTGATAACTGTAACCTGCGACACTAATACTGTTCGTTTATCAAGCTTTTCCCCATAGTTTTCCGTTTTGATAGTTAATGTTTTTAGTTCCAAGGCTCTGGGGTAGACTCATTATTAAGTAATTCAGATTCGCCGTCGTTGCTTTATAGTTTCTACGACAACGACCGACTCACACATTGCGCGTGACCACTTAATACTACCATTAGCACCACAATTAATATTTTTCTATACTTTTCCATTTTTGTCCTAAATCCACAAAAAATACCCTCTTGTTTATATAGTCTGGAACACGAAAATCTTCCTGTTCTAATCAATTATCCGCGCGGTTCTAAAATTGTGAGCTTCGTGTTTGGCCTCTCTAATGTTTATAAATTATTTATATATCATTAATTAATTAATCTATTAATGAGAACTACGTATCGTCTTTTAATAAGGGTTAAATGACTAGAGACGCCTATGCAAATATTTTTATTGGATTCGTCTGTCCATTGGTCGAGACTAAGGATGGCCAAAATTGCCGACCACTTTGACCTATTTGGCGTGTCTTACCTTTTTCAATATTTGAACAAAATTCAAGAGTCAGTTTTGTCCGAAGTGTCTAGGACTTTAAAACAGCACTAGCCAAGCCACCTCACTGGTTGCATTTAAAAGTGCAATTTCAAACATTTATTAATTTAGTTGTTTTTTTTTTGAAAACTTTATATATTTTGAGCGGTCTAAAATGCTCCACATTGAGGGAATGGCCTAATTAGGAAATTCAAATATAAATGTAAAAACCTTGTGTTATTAAACCTGGGATTTTTTCGGTTCCGGCGACGAGCGAACGAGAGTTGCTATGGAGAGATTGGAATCTTTTGTCGTTTAAAGAAAAAAATATATTTCCTTCTTGTAAAAAAAACAATTTTTTCTTTATTCGAAGCGATAAATCCAAATCAGGCATCTATTTTCTATTTATTTATTGCTAACGATTACTAACTATTTTTATTGTGATCGTTTCATACGTCATTACTGTCCGACGGTTTTGTTATTAACCGAGTGAATGACGTCAGTGAGATTAGTTCGTCTCTCATTGCCACACATGATTGGTTTGGTTGTTTACGTTTGTCTCTCATTTGCATCATCATAGCAATCAGTGAATACATTTATTTCTATGTTGCTATGATTGATATTCGGTGTCTATCATTAAGACAGATGATTCCTAGTGGCTTTTTAAGCAGCGGGATACCGATTCATTGAAATGAATTTCTTTGATATTATCATAAATAACAACTCTCGATGAATACTCTGGTGTGGTCCGGATGTTGCGTTGCACGAATCTCGCATAAGTGCAGTCTCCTCAGCCTTTGTAAGTGAGCGACAAAAACAAGTTCCTTCACCTAAAAGGACCATTAACGAGATCACAGACAGTCAGTCAGTCACCGACAGACAGTCAGTCACAGAAAGACAGTCAGTCACAGAAAGACAGTCAGTCACAGACAGACAGTCAGTTAGTACAGACAGGCAGTCAGTCACGGACAGACAGTCAGTTAGTACAGACAGGCAGTCAGTCACGGACAGACAGTCAGTTTACAGACAGGCAGTTTACAGACAGGAAGTCAGTCACAGACAGGCAGTCAGTCACCGACAGTCAGTCACAGCCTGCCAGGCATGGCGTCACAGACAGCCGTCAGACATACAAACATAGGTATACACAGAGAGACACCAAGATAGTTGAGACAAACATACGATAATCTACCTCCCAGACTACCTCAGAGTATTGTTAAGTCAAAATGAAGGGGGAGGTTGGATTTTGTTCATGCGATGTTAATTCACAGAAGGGACCATATGATAAAGCGTATTGAGACAGGTTCTGCCAATGATATGACTTTATCTCGCCTTGTCGTACGGAAAACACAGAGCTAAGTGGAAATGGATCGCTTGCAGAATGGAGTTATGAAGGAGACTCTTGAAGTGCTGGTTCAGGTGCGAATTCATCACGACTTGTCGAAGTTTGTGTGTGCCAAAACATACCCTGCGCTGTATCAAACGTCTAAACTAGCCTGCGTAGCTACCCAAAAGAATTGCCTTTTCTCATTGCCCTTCGTCATCTTCCCCGTCCCTTTTGGGCGCAGACTACGTCTATGTACGTCTAAGTCTAATTTCATCATCTTGTCACTTGGATATTTGACAAGCTAAAGTGATGATTAACTACGATGTTAACTACGCGGATACGAGTCAGTCTGTGAGGTTAAAGCTGTTTAAAACTTTTCATTACAACATGCTTGCAACGACTTTACAGCTCTTGTCGCGACTTCCTTGTGTCTTGTACCATGTCTTGTATCATAGCTAATATACCTAGACATGAACTATGGTCGTAAGGGAAAATCGATCCAGCTTGCAGCTGCAGGGGATCAGAACGTTTTGTGTTTTGTCAACCAAACACGTTTAATACGAGGATAGAATCGAGGAGTGAGCATCAATTTGGTATCATCAAACGTCAATGATTGATGTCAGTCCAGGGGATTGCTACTATTTGGATAACACATTGCTTTCGATTTGACCCTGTTGAGCTGCGCAACTGTTGTACTCTTGCGGTGATGAACAGCGAAAACAACGTAACAAGTTAACAGGGAGATGTCTTTACTTATTATCACATCGTTGTGGAGTTGTTGTCGTCGTTAGACAAATTGTACGATAATAGTACGATTTTGTGGTGATAGAACCCTTCAGTTGGATGCCTCGAATCGAACTTATCCTATCATATAAAAGAAAATGTAAGATAGAAAGAAGAAGTATAGAGCATATTCAGTTTGGTGACCGTCTATAAAACTGTTATATTGTGACTGGGGTCAGAAGAAAGAAGATCAAACTAGAGCACGCAGTTTCCATGCCGTTGCGCGATGAACAGATGTGACAAACATTGTACAAGACGACACAATTTCAAGGATTCTCATTATAGCTTTTTGGTGACCCTCTATCAAACTGTTAAATCATAACTGGAGTCAGAAGAAAGAAGGCCAACATAGGGAACACAGTCTCCGTGTCGTTGCGTGATGAACTGATGTGACAAACATCTTACAAGACAAAACAAGTTCAAGGATTTTCATTATAGCCGTATTGGGGGAAACCGGGATAAAAACTATTGTTGGCGTTTGTGTATTACATATTGTAGTTCGCCAAGTGCGCACAGTCTTTTAGTGCGCGTCTAGACCTAGATCCCATACTGTAGGCAATTACTTGGAACATCAATATACCATATACACTGGATCTATAAGCCAGCATATAGATAAGGTGCCCATGACAAGGAGTGTCCATCTCCCATACTGGGTCTGAACCAGCATATACCCAGATCAGGAGCCCATGTCAAGGAGCATCCATTCCATACTGGGTCTTAGCCAGCATATACCCTGATCAGGAGCCCATGACAAGGAGCATCCATCTTTACTGGCTCTCAGCCAACATATACCCAGATCAGGAGCCCATAACTAGGAGTGTCTATCTTCCATACTGGATCTATAAGCCAACATATTCCCAGATCTGGAGCCTATTATTAGGAGTGTCCATCTCCCATACTGAGTCTGAGTCAGCATATACCCAGATGGGAAGCCCATTTAGCTAGGAGCATTCATCTCCCATAATGGGACATGTACAAAACCAGCATGTTCCCCATTGAGCAGTTTATTTATGCTAAAAGGGTTTATTTTTTTAGCATAATGAGTGTGTGCGAGTATATCCCACTTCAGCAAATATCAATTTCATGGATACTGCAAACTTTCCTTTTTTGTCTAGGAATACAATCGTTTTTCCTCAATTAGCAGCTGAAATATGTCTGCGCGGCCTCGTTGACAGGCTACTAGGATATAGAATTGCAGCACCACTAAATGCTCCAAGATAACCTCACTTAGTGAAAGTCAGATGGAGGTTGATTTCCAAAGATAGCCTGGTAATTACGGAAGATTTACAGTTAAACGACTTCAACCGGGGCAAGCAGTATTTTTCAGCCAATCACAGCCCGACTCGAAAAATGGCCACGAGTTTTTTTGGAACACTAACCAATCAGAATCTAGTATTCCCACTGTTTATTTTAATGTCTGCGCAGGCATCTTCAAAAGAACCAGTTTATGCAATATTTCAAATCCAGCTCCGCGAACCAGAAAGACCTTAGATACTTCAAAAACAATGTTTTCGATACG